TCAGAAAATGTGGCCTTAAAGCTAGTCACAGGAAAGGTTTGGCCTCTAACAATTGTCTACCCAGCAAACTATATAACTACTTTGTAAATTATCCCAAATTCATTCTTTAAAACTAAAGCAAATAATATAGGCTCCTTCAGTTAACATAGTATTTTCCCACATCTCCCACTAAACCAACATCTCTGATCTTCTTTCTGAATATTGGGCTCATGAACTTTTTCTGTTCACATAATTGCAAGGAAATTATGTAGTCTTAGGAACTATTTGGTCCTATTCAAAAGTAAAGAAATATCCTTGATTTAGAAAGTCATATTTTTATAAACCCTTTTCCCAGATATATCCAGTTTGAACACAAAAGATAACATTTGTTATCTTTGGTTATATCTATGGTTATAGAGTGTTTCATATTGTCCAAGGTGCTTTGGCAGAAATATCTCATTTGATCTTCATTTGATCTTCACAAAAATTCTAGCAGGAGAAAGAGAGGATATTTAACACAAACAAAGAGTCACAGACTCAGAGAAATCAGATGACTTTTGGAAAATTGGCCTACTATTTTAATGTGTGAAAGACCCAGTATTCAAGCCTATAGCTTCCAGCTCAACATTCAGCGCGTTCCATGTTATAGCTGTGTTTCTAAGATGGATGGTTGGATGGATGGATGGATGGATGGATGGATGGATGGATGGATGACTGGATGCATAGGTAGGTAGATAATCTTACTGAAACAATGATTTCTTTTCCCCTCATGAATGAGCAGAATTGTCTCAACGTTTCCTAAGTTGGATGAAAAATCTTTTTGGTAGCTATTTTTAAGTGAATCCTGGATTTTCATTAAAGGAAACTAGTACGTAAAAAGTTCTAGTACGTAAAAAAGCACAATTCATAAGCAGTGTAGGGAATAATTTAAGATCAAAGTTTTAGAGTGAAATAATCATACAGAGTAAAGAAGGGAGGGAGGAAAAAAACAAATGAGGTAGGTAAAAGGTTATGGAAATTAGGGGGGTTAACTGTAAAATAATGAAGTAGAGGATCAAAAACGGAGATTATGGAAAGATGAGAAGAAATATAAGAAGAAATACAGGATAAGAAGACTGTGTAGTAATTTAAGAAGTGAAACCCCTCAGGACAGAGATAGGGGAGAAATAGGAAATTCTAGAGAGGAAGCAACAATTAAGAAGTGTGGAAAAAAAACCTCTAGGCCAGAAATCTGAGCAGACTTGAGGAGAGGGGTAGGTGGTTAAATATGGAAACACAAAAAGGGATGTTTTTAGGAGTTCAGAAGCTGAAAGGAAAATAAATTTTAATCATGAAACTCTGTGAAGACAGAATCAACAAGTCTGAATTACAAGAAAGGAAATTCACATGGTTAGAAGGGAAGAATAGAAATTAGTAAGAGAAGTCTTTGGATTTCAAGAGGTGGATAGAGAAATGATTAAAAGGAAAGAGGGCACGGTAGCTGGAGGTAGAAAATGAAATGATCCTGGAAAGAAGTGACTGGGACCACAGCAAATTGCAATAATGTAGAAAAGGGAGCCAATCAAGGAACCAGAAAGAGGGAAGGAAGGAAGGAAGGAAGGAAGGAAGGAAGGAAGGAAGGAAGAGAGGGAAAGGAGAGGAGGAAGGGAGGGAAAGAGAGAGGAAGGAAGGAAGGTAGGTTGGAAGGAAGGAAAAAAAGGAAGGGAGGGAAAGAGAGGAAGGAAGGAAGGGCAGGAGGGAGGGAGGGAGGAAGGAAGGAAGGGAAGGAGGGAGGGAGGGAGGAAGGAAGGAAGGAAGGAAGGAAATTAATTTAAGCTCTTTTTGGAGGGGACCAAGCCCCCAGGGTAACAGAGATAAAAGTGGCAAGGGGAAAGTGGGAAACAGAGAAGGCAGCAAGGCAGTTATGGGGCAGAAGGAGGCATTGTGTTTCTTCAATGAACCCTATGGTATTGGTTTTTCTTTTCCATAACTGGGGACCCTGCTTTATTTCACATATTCATATTCTACCAGTATGATCAATTCACATGGGAGAGGAATTTACAAAAAAGAGCCACTTTTTACTTTTTCAAATTTTCCACAGGTGAAGTAACCCTGATGTTAATCTATCAATCTGAAGGACACAGCACCAGAGCAAGTGTGGCGTTGGTGCTAGAGGTCATTACCAATCTTGAAACTGTTTTTTTTTTCCAGTAAATTCATAATTCATATAAAGTGGGAGTTATGTCCGTTTATGGCAAAACATGCTCTAGATATTGATTTATATTGCTTTTGCTGAAGTTTTTTTAGTTTGACTTACAGATTTTTCATCTACTTTTTATAGATTGTATTTTATAACAAAATTGTGTAGCTCCTTCAACAATTCTTTTTTCTTTCTTTTTTTTAGAAAGGGAGAGATGGTGGGGCGGCGTGGGGTGGGGCGAGGGAGAATGTCAAGCAGGCTGCACACCCTGTGGGGCTCGATCCCACAGCCCTGAGATCTTGACCTGAGCCAAAATCAAGAGTTGGACGCTTCACTGACTGAGCCACCAGGCACCCCACACTCAACAATTCTTTACCTTGATATATACACTCATTTTATCTAGACTCAAATACATTCTCGCTCTGAATGGTCTAAAAACATACTCCATGGGGTTCTAGAATTTATTTAGATGCCTCCTCTCCCCCACCTATTTCTAGTCTTCCTCTTTAATTAAATGATATAAAGCCTTTGGCCATACAATTTTCATATCACTGTGAAAATTGAGTTAAAAAATCATAACAGACATAAGAAATGGGAGGAAATTAGTACTTTCATAAGAACTTAAAGCAATTCTCTTCAGTACTCAGTTTAATCTCTTTTTTCCTTCTTCCTTTACTTCTTTCCTCTTCCTTTCTTGTCTTTCTTTTTTCCCCTCCATAATCCCTGGCCCCTTTCTAAGATCTTCACCTCAAAGATAGATGTGCCTGAAAAGAAAAGCAAAATCACTGGTTGCTGTACTAACAATTACTTCTGTATTTGTCAGAAACCAGTTTGAAATAAGATACAAAATTCCTAAAAGTAGCTATCTGTCTGAAAAAGTTTTTTAGGTCTAGCCAGAATATGAATGGATACCTCTTCCATGTCATGAAAACAAATGCTTATGTATGACCCCTGAAGAAAAGAAAAAAAATGCCTTAATAATGACAATACCTATCTTATAAGAGTGGGAAACATAGCTAAGTGGCTTTTGGAACACTTACTGGACTTGTTCGTTTTTGTTTGTTTTTTTTTAACCTTTAGCATATGGAGAAAATAGAGATGACAGGCAGGTAGCTGAATGCGACAACAGGATGGCAAACGGTTCTTGACTTTCAGGATAGAAAGAATTTATAAGACACAGATCCTAATACAGTTAAGTTCAGGACTGCAGACAGTGGGGGTGGGGAGGCCATGTTTTAAGAGCACTCATTATCCTTAAACATCCTCTTAATGCAAAGTCACTCATCTCTCCCCACCCGCCCCCCTGCTTCCTAGAATTAAGGAAAGTCCTTCCTTAACTTGGGTTGCTATGCAGAGATGTGAAATCTCATTGGCTCCGAATGATTTTCTGTTTAGTAGCGACTACTGGGAACCCAGCTAATGTGCATATTGATGTACCCTGTAGCTTCAGAGATGATGAAAGAGCATATTACTTATTTCCACAACAACAAAGCTAAGAGAAATTTGAAAGCAGCCAGTTATTTTACCTGGGGACTTTCTCCCAGGTGACTGGGTTATAGAGCCACAGAATTTACATATGGGGGCAGTCCCATTTTCTGAAAAAGTTTTTCTGGGGAGCCACAATACCACTCTCAACCCAATAATAATAATAATAAAATAAAAGAATTAAGAGACTGTTGCTTTCATTTGCATACATTTAGTCAACTCGGCCTAAAATATGGAAAAAAACATTATGATGCTCATTCAGAGTGTATTTTATTCGTTGTTTACTAGGCTGGACCGACATGATATGATTTGTGCTTTGCGGGGTCACAACAAGCTACTAGCAGGACAATTTGCTGAATCAAGAGGATGATTGTGTCTGGTGCCAGTCAGTCGCAATTAGGACCAGGATCAGGGAGGCCCAGGGCTTGTGCATCGTCTTGGGCTAGCTGCATAGAAATCAGCTCACCTGAAACTAATTGTCACAACAGAGACCTTATGCAAATGAGCCCTGGGGTTAGCGTGGGAAAAGAAAAACTGTCGCAAAGATAGGTGACCTGCTGAGCAGGGGGTCTGTTGCTGGGGAAATCTTTGTTCAATGAGTTTAAAAATGTTTTCATTGTTCAAAAAAAAAAGCATACCCACTCACCAAGAGTGTGGCAAACACACTCATCTAAAATTCCAATAAAGTGAAAGCCTGCTTTGGAGCATGCAATAAATTGGTAGTCTATACTTTATAAGGGCTAGGGCAGGAAAATAATTTCCCTTTTGCAAGGGCCTTTAAAGTTGAGGTGCTGTGGGTTACAGAGTGGGCCTACCTTGAAAATTTGCTTGGAAGGTCAGTTCTGCTGTTATCCTGATGGGGTTTCTACCTCCTTTTCTAACCACATTCCAACTGTCCTTGTCCACATAGCCATGAGGGGTTCCTGTGAACTAGACAAGAGAGGCCTGTTTCCTAATTGAACTTCACTTTTTTTTTTTTTTTTTGAACTTCACTTTTATCTCAGGTAGAAAAGAAGGGCCAGGAGAGCTCCCCCCACATGGCAAAAGAATCCAGGAAACAATGGGCAGTTTCTTAAACTGTGGTTTCTCAAATGTTCACAGAATTAAATGAAATGCAAACGTTGTGAAATTCCAAGACAGGTTATATGGCCCGAGTGACTATAGATTTTAGAAATTTAGCAAAATAAAATTTATTTTTAAATAATTGACTTCCCTTTTCTAGACCTCTGACAAAAATATCTGTAAATTAGCAATATTGTAATTTAATCTTGTAAGTAATACAGCACACCTTTGAAATAGTCTTCAAAATGTTCAACTTTAGAAAACTCCGTGAAGAAAAGTCATTTTGAGGTGGGGAACCTTTTTATATGTTGTTGTAACAAAGTTGCTTTTGGGTTATTGATTGATTTTTTTTAGCTTTTCAATTTTGTTTCCCTAAAAAAGTATGGGTTAACATATTGACACTACTTAGCTTTTCACTGAAAATTTGCCGGTAACATATTAAATAATGTGTATTCACACAGCAGTATAAATCAAATAAGGAGAAAATGGGGAATTCTGAGCTTCTACAAGAACAGAGATGTTTTGTGTCTGGTGATTCCAAAAGACGAATAATTGGAATAAAATATTTTAGGTGAGAGAAAAAGAAGCAAAGTTGCACTGCATTAGCTTTGAATGCAAATGTCATTTTGTTTGGCAAATTACTGGGTCTGCGAGAAAGTAAGTGTTTTCATTGTGTTTCCTAAGGGGCTGGATTGAAATTTGGACTTGTATCTGCTAAGCAAGTTCAGGAATTACCTCAACGGCCACCACAAAACCTAAAGAAAGTTAGGCTCAAAAGCAGCACGACTTAATCACAACTTAAATTAAAAGGAAAAAAAAAAGAAACCAAACTCTTTTGTCCCTTCACCACTGTCTGAAATAATTTCCACATATAGGAGACAGTTCACAGTGTGTATGAAGTGCTCAGCTTTCACTCATCAAACTTTAATCGGAACTGCATTTTAGTTTTTGAATAAAGAACACTTAAAAAATTTAGATGCAAATGATTTTGCATTATTCATGCCCTAAGTGTCCTTGTAGATTTAAACACTTCTGAGGCTACCTTGATTCAAGTAATTACCTAGGCCCTCACTGCTGCGTCATGAATAAGGTATTTTGCACAAGCAAAGTGTGTACCCGATGAGCTTTTAAAGTGGCTTTACACTGAACTTGTGTATTGCTTCTCGTGCATGAGTGAGCCGAACACGCGTCGCAATCTGTCTCAGGTGGGAAACCCTGGCTGGGCATCCATGGGTGACGGGATGAAACCCGAGCGTCTCTCTCCACACACATGCTCTTCCTTTTGTCTCTTCTTAAGAATCTCAAAGTGATTCTCCTACCTGGGTCTAGTAGCTGTTTGAGAATCTAAGAGAGCAATAGATGAGGAAAAGAAATGAGAGGTAAAGTAGCACTGGTTCCGCTTAACTCCTCTGTCCCCGGAGTTCATTTAAATGGCCACTTTTCAGCCCACCTCGCCTCCACCAGCAAAGACTTCTGCATAAGGTACGAAGTCTCTCTGATTTTATGTGGCTCAGTACATCTGTCTCCCCATCTGTCAGCCTAGACTCAGCTCCTAGAGCCAGGTCCTACCTCCACCACCGTATTCCTCACAAACAGGAACTGGCTTCACATTCAAAGGTGAATGGAGGATGCTTCCCATGGAAATGGAAGCGACCACGCAGCATGAGTCTCTAAGTTTATCCACACACATGCACACACACACACACACACACACACACACACAAAGAAGGTTCGTAAGAGTTAAATATAATTGGCTGAGGCCTGTAGCTGGCATTTGTTACAAAATGCCCAAGACTTTCCTTTCCAACTCCGTGGCTTTGAAGAATTATAGGAATTTTATGATGTGCTATTGGAGTTATACTGGCAGAGATTACAGAAAAGGGGTTAAAGTTGGTTTATGGTAGAAAAAAATTATGCAGAAACCAATAAAAATAAACACACTCAAGTAGACTAAACTTGCTGGGCTTTTAGTTTTAGTTTAACAAAGGAAGTTTAGATGAAAGTAAATGTTGCAGCTTTTAGAAAATTAGTTGACACTCATACTTGATCATCTTTACTACACAGCGGTATAATTAATATTTAAACATTCTAATAATGCAGCTTGCTTTGCATGCACTTTTCAGCCTCACAACAGTATATTTTATCTGGAATTGTGTTAGCATTTTCTTGGGTACTACCCATTTTCATGGAGTTAAATTTAAAATAGAGTAGGGCCTTAGCCCTTATGGCCAGTAAAACATCAATAGGAGAGCGAACAGGTTTCATACATCTCCCAGACAGTTTATTATTAAGACCAATATTTACCCGAGATAGTAGATAATATATAAATTGTGTTCCATTGCGCCCATGAACGCTTTTAAATGCACGGAGCAGATTAAGTTTGAAAGTTGCGTCTGGCTGCGGTCCACTCACCTCTGACTGTCCAAAACAGGAGAATTTTGATTTTGGGAAAGCGGTGTGAAATGAGGAGAAAGCACGTGAAAGGCTCAGCCTGCCGATATCTGCCCATTCATTAAGACATCTGATTAACGCAGGGAAGAATTTTTATTTCCAATACATGAAATCATTTCGAAGGCATTGTCTGAGCTGTGACGGCTGAATGCCCAGGAACTTGGTAAAACAAGGAAACTAGTAAAATGTAGAGAAGTTAGCTTAATTGAGAGAAGACGGAGCTAATTTATTTTCCTATGAGAGCTTTCTTCCCGTTCCAGTCTCAGGGCTGTAGGTGGTAGGGAAAAGTTGTTTCAGGTGCTACCCTCAGCTCGGCCCCTTTGAAGAGTGCAAGGTGCCCGGTGTCCTTGATCTTCTTCGAGGTCGAATGGTGAGAAAGAGCGTTCTACTTTTCCACTGTAACTTCAGTGTTCTTTAACAAAAACATAATTTGCATGCACATATTTACTGCTCATTCTGTATAACTGAGTAGGTGTACTGAGTTGCGGGTCTATTTTGAGTCTCGGCCCATGTTAACCCCTTGAGGCCCACTTCACGATAGGTACTGCCCTGTGGGAGTCCTATCGGTCAGTGAAGGATGAAGCCAAAAGGGATCCAAGGCCACGCCAACACTGGGGCATCTCATTTCACTTAATTCTGTGAAGCCTTGAGCCAAGGTTGGCACAACTCAAAGGGCACAAATGAGAACTGCAAAATTAGGCAGGTTAGGTTCTTAGAGAGAAAAGATAAGCAACAGAAAAAAAGAGCCTATAGGAAAGATCCCTATAGAAGAGGGCTACGTAAACGAAGTTTCACAGGGAAAGAACCAGAGGGATCTCATGAGGTAGCTGTCATGAGACGGTTTGTGCGGGCTGCTTTGTTTCCTTTTGTCAAAGAAAGTCATTTTCACAGATTCATGGAGATGATCGTTTTTATTTCTGATATCCAGAAACCGAACTGGCAGTTTGGTCTCTTTGTATTTTATTGGGTTTGTTTTGAGAAAGAGAGCTAAATGAACTCAGCTTACAAATAACTAACAGCCCCTGAACTGTTTAAAACCTGCTCTTGAGGTGGGAAAGCAGAGATAAGTTGAACCCAACTGCTGTCACATGTATGGGTTTGACAGATAGGTAAGTCCGAGAGTGGACAAAATTAAAAACATTTTTCATATGCTAATCTCCACCTGCACAGGAATTTTTTTTTTTTTAAAGGAGGCAGCCTACTGGTAGACTAAATTCAAGAGCTGTCTATGACCAGTACATTACTTCTAGGAATTGCCATGACACACAAAAAAATGAATAACTACTTTCATGAAAAAAGTCTTCCATAGAATCTTAATTCCAGATGGGCGTCATGACAGCATGGGCCAGCAATTTGTGGAAAGAAAAATGACCCATACATGTAGCTGTTAAACTAACCTAATAATTCCCTCCAGGTGTAATTGGCTGAAAGTTCTGTCTGAGGAATTACTTTTTTAGTTGCAGATAGAGGTAAAAGGGAGCACAGTGGTCTGCCTTGCCTTTCAGGTGGTAGGTACATATAAAGTAGGTACATATAAACTTCACAGTGAGTGTGGGAGACAACAGGGGATGTCAATGAGAACCTACAGATTAACCCACAGCAATGAAATCTGAGAAGGTTTATAGCAAGTAGGTAATAGTTTCAGTCGTCTGTGAGAACCCATAAACTCCAACTTCACGCTGGGACAAAACAGGGCAGGACATTTGAGGTAGAGGGTGAGAAAACCTTCCTCTCCTTATGATAAAGCCTCTCCCAGACTTGTTTAAATGCCACTGGGCTGCTATTGAATGCTTACCATTTCTCTGGGTTTTATATTATTGTACAAGAAGCTTTGGGAGTTTCCTTTAAGTTTGATAAATATTCAAATTTGTGCATAATTTCTACACTTCAGTTTTGAATGATAGAAAATTTCCCATGCTTGTTGAGTTTCCTTTCAAGTAAGAAAGTAATTCTTGTAATAAATGAGAATGTTGTGTTTCTTTTTCCCAATATTGTCAAGCTTAATAAGCCCTTACTTCAGTTTATAAATTCAAGATTCACTAATTTATTGAAACGAGAGCCAAAATAGTCCATGAGAAGTCTTAAACATCAAATGGTGACTTAAAAGAAATGGGAAGCTAATGGTTATCTAAGGTGAGGTCCTACCTTTTTCTAGCAGAGAGTCCTCAGACTTAGGAAACTTTTGGTTCAAATGCCTATAATGGGATTAGTACTCTCAGTTACCATGCGGTACTCTTTGGGGCCCTATGAAGTAAATTCTAGTCCATGATTATAACACTGGTGTCACTTTAAAATACACTGTATCTGGGAGGTAACAGTCAGAGAAAGTTTCTGGCATGGTAGTTTTTGTGTGGAAGAGGAACTTAAAAGAACATATGCAGGCACTAGATGAAATGTTTTGCTTTGGCTTTACATGGAGGGAAAGCTGGACAATGGTCATTTTACTTTTTAAATGGAACTTAAACCCTGATGCCATGTGACCGGCCAGGCTGCTAACAGGAAGGAGAAGAGTTAGTTAGCATCCTTAACATTCTTTGATTGGCAAGCACATTAGGAGGTAGATAAGGGAGCGGCATGGGCGACCCACCTCCTGGCCACGGGAGGACAGTGCCTGGAATGTCTGCAATTTGTTTCTATTTTTGTCACACCTATGTGTGGCCACCCATCTGGTCTGAATCAATCAGTCTCATCGCAGGGCTCTGCTTCTCTCCCAGCTGAAATAATACCCTCCTTTTCCACTGTTCTGCGTTAAGGAGTTTCACTTTTCACAACTGGCCAGGCAAGACTATTCACAAGGCTAGATGTTTGTAAATACAGGTGAACCCAGGAGGAGGCATTGGGGAGAACTAAAAAAAAAAAAAAAAAAAAAAAAAAAAGAATATTTTATGGATACACTCTGCTTTACTAGAAACAGTACTTGGGAAAATTGAATGATTCATTAGCAAAATATTTGACTCCAGGAAGTAAAAGAATGATGCTATATCATTTTGTATGCATGTATCCTTATTTATTTTTTAATGCAGTTTTCTTTGCCTGAGTTTAAACGAGGCTGTTCTACCTACAGCAGATAAAGCCAAGGTATGAGGTATTGGCCACCACTTAGGCTGAAGGATTTTCTTAGGCCATTTCTCTCTGCTCCACACTAGAATAAATAATGCTCAATTCACCTACACCTCTGTAACAGCCCTGCACCTCTGCAGCTAGATCATGTTCTTGACATTCCTCATGTGCACATTCTGTTCTTTAGCAGTCCAGCGCCCATGCCTCCCCCATCTGATTCCTGCACACCTGACAGCCTCTCTCTCCAGTTTGTAGACCACTGACCTCTATTACAAAGGTCAAGGTATTCACCAGTGAAACCAGCTTTAGGACCACATAGCACTCTTCCCACAAGAGACCTCAAAACTTACTGACGTTGGCCTTGGCAAATTAAATAACAAGGGAAAAAGCAACTCATGCTCCCTATCTGCCCAGTTTCCCAATGCAGTGGGAACTACCAGCCTATCGTCACCTCCCATCCGGGA